TTTGGGGTTTTTGGGATTTGGGGTTTGGGGTTGGGGATTTGGGGTTTGGGGTTGGGGATTTGGGGTTTGGGGTTGGGGATTTGGGGTTTGGGATTGGGGGTTTTTGGGATTTGGGGTTCTTGGGGTTTGGGGTTCTGGGGTTTGGAGTTCTGGGTTCTGGGGTTTTTGGGGTTTGGGATTGGAGTTTTTGGGTTCTGGGATTTGAGGTTTTGGGATTTAGGGTATCTGGGATTTGGGGCTCCCCAGGATTCGGGGTATCTGGGATTTGGGGTTCCCCGGGATTCGGGGTATCTGGGATTCGGGGTATCTGGGATTTGGGGCTCCCCAGGACTCGGGGTATCTGGGATTTGGGGCTCCCCGGGATTTGGGGTATCTGGGATTTGGGGCTCCCCAGGATTCGGGTATCTGGGATTTGGGGCTCCCCAGGATTCGGGTATCTGGGATTTGGGGCTCCCCGGGATTTAGGGTATCTGGGATTCGGGTATCTGGGATTTGGGGCTCCCCAGGATTCGGGGTATCTGCGATTCGGGGTATCAGGGATTTGGGCCTCCCTGGGATTCGGGTATCTGGGATTTGGGGCTCCCCGGGATTCGGGGTATCTGGGATTCGGGGTATCTGGGATTTGGGGCTCCCCAGGACTCGGGGTATCTGGGATTTGGGGCTCCCCGGGATTCGGGTATCTGGAATTTGGGGCTCCCCAGGATTTGGGGTATCTGGGATTCAGGGTTCCCCAGGATTCGGGGTATCTGGGATTCGGGTATCTGGGATTTGGGGCTCCCTGGGATTCGGGTATCTGGGATTTGGGGCTCCCCGGGATTTGGGGGTCCCGGGGGTCTCACCTGGCCGCTCCTCGCGGGCCGGGGCCCCTTCGGCCTCGGGGTCCCTGTGGCCGGGCCCCTCCTCCTCGTCCCCCTTGCGGGGCCCTTCGGCCTCGCTGCCATCGCCCGGCGACGGTGGCACCTCGGGGACAGGGGGCTGCGGGGACAGGGCGGGGCTGTCACCCCCCGTGTCCCCATGGGGACATCACCCCCCTCCGGGGGTGACAGCGACGGGGGGATGGTGGGGAGGGGACAGGAGGGCGAGGACAGCGCGGGGGACAGGGATGGGACAGAGCTGGGGACAAGGAGAACGTGACTGGGAACAGGGAGGACGTGGTGGGGACAGGTTTGGGGACAGGGCTGGGGACAGGGTTGTGTCACTCACATCTGTCTCCATCTTCTCGGGCCCTTTGGGCTCCTTCTCGTCCCTGGTGTCACCCTCGTCCCTGTCCGGGGGTGGCCCTGGCCCGTCCCCGCGCTCGCTGGGCGCCGGCGTGGCTGGGGACAGGGGACATCGGACATCAGGACATCTGTCCCCATCCTGTCCCCAGCCATGTCCTCAGCCCATGTCCCCATGTCCCTGTGTCTCCATCCTTGTCCCCGTGTCCCCATCCCTGTCCCCAGCCAAGTTCCATCCCTGTCCCCGTGTCCCCAGCTGTGTCCCCATCCCTGTCCCCGTGTCCCCAGCTGTGTCCCCATCCCTGTCCCAGTGTCCCCATCCCTGTCCCTGTGTCCCAGCCATGTTCCCATCCCTGTCCCCATGTCCCCAGCTGTGTCCCCATCCCTGTCCCAGTGTCCCAGCCGTGTCCCAGCCGTCGTCATGTCCCCACCCCTGTCCCCATCCTTGTCCCCATGTCCTCACCCCTGTCCCCATGTCCCATCTGTGTCCCCATGCCTGTCCCTGTGTCCCAGCCATGTTCCCATCCCTGTCCCTGTGTCCCCAGCCGTGTCCCCATGTCCCATCCCTGTCCCCATCCCTGTCCCCATGTCCCATCCATGTCCCCATCCCTGTCCCCATGTCCCAGCCGTGTCCCCATCCCTGTCCCTGTGTTCCCATCCCCTGTCCCCAGCCATGTCCCCATGTCCCCATCCCTGTCCCCATGTCCCCACCCCTGTCCCCATGTCCCATCTGTGTCCCCATGCCTGTCCCCATGTCCCCAGCTGTGTCCCCATCCATGTCCCCATGTCCCCATCCCTGTCCCTGTGTCCCACCCCTGTCCCCATCCCTGTCCCAGTGTCCCATCCATGTCCCATCCCTGTCCCAGTGTCCCAGCCATGTCCCATCCCTGTCCCCGTGTCCCAGCCGTGTCCCAGCCATGTTCCCATCCCTGTCCCCAGCCGTGTCCCCTCCGTGTCCCCGGTGGGTACCGGGCGTGGGGGGCGCGGGGCTGGGGGGGCCGCTCTGCTCGGGGCTGGGGGGGCCGGTCTTGGCGGGGGAGGAGGCGCGGGACGAGCGCTTGGAGTCGGCGCTGGGCTCAGGGGCCAGCTCGGGCAGGGACCAGCGGCCGTTGATGTGCTCGAACTCCTGCACCTGGGGGGACAAACGGGGGTCAAAAACCCCAAAATCCCTAAAAACAATCCCAAAACCCTAAAAATCCACCCCAAAATCCCTAAAAACAACCCCAAAAACCCTAAAAATCCACCCCAAAACCCCCCAGTGCCCAGCTCGGGCAGGGACCAGCGGCCGTTGATGTGCTCGAACTCCTGCACCTGGGGGGACAAACGGGGGTCAAAAACCCCAAAATCCCTAAAAATCCACCCCAAAATCCCTAAAAATCCACCCCAAAAACCCTAAAAATCCACCCCAAAAACCCTGGCTGTCCCCAGGCTGTCTCTGGCTCCACCATGTGTGTCCCCAGTCTGTCCCAGCCTGTCCCAGCTGTCCCAACCATGTCCCCAGCCGTGTCCCCAGTCTGTCCCAGTTGTCCCCAGCCTGTCCCAGGTGTCCCAGCCGTGTCCCCAGCCTGTCCCAGGTGTCCCAGCCGTGTCCCAGCCGTGTCCCCAGCCTGTCCCAGCCTGTCCCAGCTGTCCCAGCCTGTCCCAGCCGTGTCCCCAGCCGTGTCCCCAGCCTGTCCCCAGCCTGTCCCAGCTGTCCCAGCCGTGTCCCCAGATGTCCCAGCCGTGTCCCAGCTGTCCCAGCCGTGTCCCCAGCCTGTCCCCAGCCGTGTCCCCAGCTGTCCCAGCCTGTCCCAGCCGTGTCCCCAGCCTGTCCCAGCCTGTCCCAGCTGTCCCAGCCGTGTCCCCAGCCTGTCCCCAGCTGTCCCAGCCTGTCCCAGCTGTCCCAGCCGTGTCCCCAGCTGTCCCAGCCGTGTCCCCAGCCTGTCCCAGCTGTCCCAGCCGTGTCCCCAGCCTGTCCCAGCCTGTCCCAGCCGTGTCCCCAGCCTGTCCCAGCTGTCCCAGCCTGTCCCAGCCGTGTCCCCAGCCTGTCCCAGCTGTCCCAGCTGTCCCAGCCGTGTCCCCAGCCTGTCCCAGCTGTCCCAGCCGTGTCACCAGCCGTGTCCCCAGCTGTCCCAGCCGTGTCCCCAGCCGTGTCCCCAGCTGTCCCGTACCTTTTTCTTGACGAGGGACATGACGCCGATGCGGGTCAGCACCTGCTGCCGGGACAGCCCCTCCCGGGGGACGCCGTCCGCGAAGGTCTCGGAGCCGTCGGCGCCCGGCTCGCACAGGTGCCGCATGAACAGGGACACGTAGGCCCTGGGGACAGCGCTCAGGGCCACCGCCGTGCCAGGGCGGCTGCCACCCGCCCCTGTGCCACCACCGCCGTGCCAGGGCGGCTGCCACCCGCCCCTGTGCCACCACCGCCGTGCCAGGGTGGCTGCCACCCACCCCTGTGCCGCTGCCACCCACCCCTGTGCCACCACCCCTTCCTGTGCCACCACCGCCGTGCCAGGGTGGCTGCCACCCACCCCTGTGCCGCTGCCACCCACCCCTGTGCCACCATCCCTGCCAGGGCGGCTGCCACCCACCCCTGTGCCGCTGCCACCCACTCCTGTGCCACCACCGCTGTGCCAGGGCAGCTGCCACCCACCCCTGTGCCGCTGCCACCCACCCCTGTGCCGCTGCCACCCACCCCTGTGCCACCATCCCTGCCAGGGCAGCTGCCACCCACCCCTGTGCCGCTGCCACCCACCCCTGTGCCGCTGCCACCCACCCCTGTGCCGCTGCCACCCACCCCTGTGCCACCACCCCTGCCAGGGCGGCTGCCACCCACCCCCTGTGCCACTGCCACCCACCCTTGTGCCACTGCCGTGCCACCAACCCTGCCTGTGCTGCTGCCACCAACTCTGCCACCACCCCTGTCTGCGCCACCCCCTGTGCCACCACTGCACCCACATACTCTGCCCCGGGGTCACTGTCCCCACAGATGCTGTCCCCAGTGTCCCCAGTATCCCCAGTGCCACCAGTGTCCTCAGTGTCCCCAGTGTCCCGATGTTCCCAGTGTCCCCAACGTCCCCGATGTCCCCAATGTCCCCAGTGTCCCCAATGTCTCCAGTGTCCTGATGTCCCCAGTGTCCCCAGTATCCCCAGTGCCACCAGTGTCCCGATGTCCCCAGTGTCCCGATGTTCCCAGTGTCCCTGATGTCCCCAGTGTCCCCAGTGTCCCCGATGTCCCCAATGTCCCCAGTGTCCCCAGTGTCCCCAATGTCCCCAATGTCCCCAGTGTCCCCGATGTCCCCAATGTCCCTGCTGTCCCCAATGTCCCCAGTGTCCCCAGTGTCCCCAGTGTCCCTGATGTCCCCAACGTCCCCGATGTCCCCAATGTCCCCAGTGTCCCCGATGTCCCCAATGTCCCTGCTGTCCCCAATGTCCCTGCTGTCCCCAATGTCCCCAATGTCCCCAGTGTCCCTGATGTCCCCAACGTCCCCGATGTCCCCAATGTCCCCAGTGTCCCCAGTGTCCCTGATGTCCCCAACGTCTCCGATGTCCCCAATGTCCCCAGTGTCCCAATGTCCCCAGTGTCCCCAACGTCGCCGATGTCCCCAATGTCCCTGCTGTCCCCAATGTCCCCAGTGTCCCCAGTGTCCCTGATGTCCCCAACGTCTCTGATGTCCCCAATGTCCCTGGTGTCCCCAATGTCCCCAGTGTCCCGATGTCCCCAGTGTCCCCAACGTCCCCGATGTCCCCAATGTCCCCAGTGTCCCCACTGTCCCTGCTGTCCCCGCTGTCCCTGCGCCATCAGCCCGTCCCCTCGTCACGGCGCCCGTGGGGGCTGTGCCGGTCGGGGCAGGGAGCTGCCACCGCTCTGGCGTCCCCTGGGCCACACCCGGCCCCCCGAGGGGACATTGGGGACATCGGGGGTGGCTTTGTGTCGGGCTGAGGGGGACACGGCCTCGTCCGGTCCCCAGGAACACCAACAGCGGCGGCGCTCGGCTGAGTAAGGGCTCATCATGTGGCATGGGGACATCGGGGACATCGGGGGGATTGGGGACATCAGGGACATTGGAGACATGGGGGACATCGGGGACATTGGAGACATTGGAGACATTGGAGACATCGGGGACACTGGGGGGATTGGGGACATCAGGGACATCGGGGACATCGGGGACATCGGGGGGATTGGGGACATAGGGGGGACATTGGAGACATGGGGGACATTGGGGACATCGGGGACATTGGGGGGATTGGGGACATCAGGGACATCGGGGACATCGGGGACATCGGGGATATTGGGGACATGGGGGACATCAGGGACATTGGAGACATTGGGGACATTGGGGACACTGGGGACACTGGGGGGATTGGGGACATCAGGGACACTGGGGACATTGGGGGACACAGGACACCAGGGGGACACCAGGGGGACACCAGGGGACAATGGAGGGCACTGGGACACGCTGGAAGATGAGGGGACACGGGGACAATAAGGACACGGGGACAAACCGACATGGGGACAAACGGACACAGAGAACATGGGGACACACGAGGACAAAGGACACGGGACACACGGACACCTCGCTACTCTGCTGCCACCTGTCCTCGATGCCACCACCTGTCCCTGATGCCACCACCTGTCCCTGGTACCACCACCTGTCCCTGATGCCACCACCTGTCCTTGATGCCACCACTCATCCCTGATGCCACCACCTGTCCTCGATGCCACCACCTGTCCTTGATGCCACCACCTGTCCTCGATGCCACCACCTGTCCC